GCTGGGGCCCTGGGCAGAGGGTCAGCCTGGCCTCGGCCTCAGGCCACAGGTTCCAGGCCTGGATTCGGGATTGAGGCCGCCCAGCCCCTCCTCATCAGGAGACAGGTGGGGGCTGCAGGGCCCGACCACCCGGGACCCACCCCAGCCCTTTCCGGGGCAGCCGGGGTGCCCATCCCACCACCCTGCGCAAGGTGGGGGGGCCTCGGCAGCAGGGGCTGCTCCTGGGCGAGGCGGCTTGTCCAGGGCCCCGCCCACCCCGTCCCACCTCATCCCCTCCGGCCACGTGCTTCCCCCTCAGCCACGGGGCCCCCTTCCCTGAGTCACCCTCCAAGCGCACCCCGGTGGCCCCCACCCCTCGCCCCAGGCCCTCTCCCCTCCCCGGCCCACACACCCCCTGCCCTGCGCTGCGGCCTCCTCCCCCGGCATCACTGTGCCCTCCTCGCCAGCCCCTAGGGTGACCTGGGCAGGTGTCCTCCGTGGGGCACAGGCAGGAGCGGGTTCCAGGCCCCAGAGTCGCTTCAGCCACCCTCCTGGCCAGCGGTGCCGCACCGTGTTGGGGCTACTCAGCCCGAGGGGCCCCTCCCAGCACATCTGGGCTGCTGCAGGCCCCTCCTGCTGCCTGCGTGGCCTCACGTGGCCGCAGAACCAGGCTCCAGGCTGCCCCAGGCCCTGCCCTGCCCAGTGGGGCCACCCTGGTGTCGGGGGCTCCTCTCCCTGCCGGCCCTACAAGCCCAGACGCCAGCTCTGGGCCTGGGCTCGGCTGCTGGCCCTCCCTCACCTGCTGTGCGGCTGTGGCGAGTTGCTGTTCCCTCTGTGCCTCCACTTTGCACCTGCGAAATGGGCCCGTGCTCCCGGGGCCCCTGTGGGGTGTGGTGGGCCACATGCCCCGGCCTGGCCCTAGGCACTGTCCCCACGCAGGTGTCCGTCCATGGGTCCTGCAGGTGGGAGCTCCCAGGCCGCAGGCTCCTCCCTGCCCAGCGTCAGGCCTGTGGCTCCGGCACCTGCACCTCCAGCCCCTGCCCACGAGGGTCCCCAGCCGCGGGGGACAACAGGATGACCAAGGACCTTTTCAGCAGGACTCAGATCCCAAAACGCTCTCGTGATCTGATCGTCGCGGGGACAATTCCACTAGTTCCCTCCTCCCTAGGCTGCTCCAGCCCCCAGGCCGCACTGACGCTTGTTCACGGCGCTTACTTTAGCTGAGTTGCTTAATTGGAATGTGTTCCGCGTCCCCACGGAGCACACAGCACGGACAAGGCGAAAGAGGGCAGGTCCCCGCGGGGCGGGGGCAGAGGCCACTGACACTGCCTGCTCGCCGCCGTGGCTCCCACTGCGCTGGTGCCGCAGGCTCAGCAGAGGTGGGTGGAGTGGCCGCCCACCCCACGGGCCGTGCACACACGCTGGGCTCTGCCAGGATGCCAGCATCACACGTGAGGGCCTGAGCACCAGCACACGCCGGGGACAGGCGGGCACACGGCAGGTGCACGGGCCAGGGATTCCCGTGGGGCACACAGACTGGGCACTCGGCATACCTGCAGGGCCACGTGGAGCACACGTGTGCACACCCGAGGCCTCAGGCGTTTGGCCCAGGGTGGGGATTCAGCGTGGGTGGTCCCAGCAGCCCAGACCTCCTGCCTGGGAGGCTCACTCGGGTCCCTCCCACACCCCCTGGCCAGAGGGACGTAAATTCTGCTAATGTTCATGGTTCCTCCGGCCTGCAGGTGACCGTGTTGTGGGAGGAGGGGTCGAGAGCCCCCTTCCCCCCAGCTCTGCAGGCCGAACCTTCAAGCGCAGTTGTGCAGCCCGTGCAGTGCAGCAGGGCAGAAACCCGGCCCACACTGGCCATGCTAAGCCAGCCACAGCCCTGCCCACAGCCCCTTTCCAGCCCTGGGAGCAGGCATGTCGCCCGAGTGGGACGCTGGGGAGGTGGGAGCAGACACTGGCGATGTTTCCGGCTCCTTCCTCCAGGGCAGGGCCCTGACCCTCCCCCAGGACAGCTCCTTGGCCCTCTGCGTCCCCGCCCCGCCCAGCGGGCTCTCTGGGCCAGGCGGATGGGAACAGCGGCCTCAGCCCGAGGTCTCCTGCTCATGAATTTTTCATGCCTGGTTGGAGCCGTGGGAGAGGGCGGCCCCTCCTGCACCGCTGCGAAGCAACAGTAATTAACGTTCACCCTGGGAGAAGAAGGCCGCCTTTCTGTGGCTGCTTCATAGCTGTGCTGATTTGTGCCGCCTGCTCTCGGGGGTGGCGGGCGGCTCTGGAAGGCGTGAGGGAGGCCACGTTCCCCCGACCTCCTGTGCAGGCGCTTCTGGGGGAGCAAGGGGGCCGCAGCCAGGTGACGGGTCCTGCACACTCCGGCTCATCTAACCCGAACCCCCCCC